TATAGGCCTAAGCTTTATCGTCTTTTTACAAAAGCTCTTTTGAAAGTTTTAAATATATTATCAGGTTTAGAGAGGGACTGATCTTTTATTGAACCACGCCCTCGGTGCAAGTGAGATTCCAATGACACCTGGAATGGGCCACCCACATGGGTTGGCTGGGTAGGCGTCACACAGATCTTGGATGCGACTGAAATTTCGTCCAGGCGACGATTCAAGAAAATGAGGAAAGAACCGATAGCCCTTGTGACTTCTGACTGTTTCCTTGGTGAACGGCTGAACAATTGACCAAAACAATAAGCTGCACGCAACATTCAAAATGAATTACTGATATAAAGGACTGTGAATGCCGAATCCTCCAGTTTTATTAGGAATAGTTCCGAGGATACATATAAGACTGCTGACTGCAGAAAGAAGCGAAAAACTGGTCAGGACGCAGGAATTTCGTCGAACGAGGCAACAGCAGCAGAAGCATCGCACGATCCCCGGCCCGATCCTAGGCAAGCCTCCTCCCGTTCAGACGGTCGTGGGACCTCGCCTCGCACGGGGCGACTGCCTGGCCTCGTCGCGGTCTGCGAAGGATGAGGCTAAGATCTCCAGGTTCCAAGCGATGCAGACTATTTCTACGAGAAAAAATGGTGGTCGGGGAACGGATGCGAGTTCCGAAGACGACGTTTTCATTGACGCTGTAAGCGGACTATTTCTTGCAATCTACGCATTTTTAGGAGTTTGTTTCTTCGTTTCTTTGAGATTCAACGAGTCTCCAAATGGCGGGGTGTGAATTGGTTTGAGAAACCATTCACTCAATGGACGCTATACTACATCATCTTGAACGCAATCCATGGAATCGGTAGCGATGGAATTGGAATGTTGAGCGGCGTATTTTCTCACGCCATTCTGGCTGGCTCGATCGGGGTGACGGCGTGACGTGCCCATTTCGACAAAAGGCTGAAGCGAGGTTGGGATTTGAATTTCACGAATCTGCTGAAAATGGACTCAATGGCGGTGAGATGCCGACCATCCCTGAAAAAATCGCATTTTCAGCACGCAAAATCTTCGCACGACATAATGGTCGGACGTGGGTTGGACCCCCCGACGCAAGATGGAGCGATGCCACAAGTCACTAACACACCCTGATACCCTGAGAATTGTGCTTTTCATGCATTGCTCGATTATCACACTCTTAAGCATGTAACATTTGAGTAACCGGTACTAATGGTACTAAGGTACTAAGTAACTACCAATTTGCTACCTTTTTAATCAAAGCTATTTTTAACATAACAGAGTAAAGGTTATCCAAAAGTTATGCCTTGAGGAAGTTAACCTTGCTCCCTTTGTCCCATTTATATATTCCTAATCTTCCCTAAAAGCTATGGCAGTTCAAGTAACAACGGATCTTTTAATGAATGAACCTTTTCTTAAAGATGTTGCTCTCATTCCATAAATGCCCTATGGAGGAAAATTTTTATCTTCCACTGTGATGGACGGTGGTATTCTCTTTTTCTGAGCGGATAAAAAACCGGGGACAGAAGTAAAAGTCTCCCTGATTTAAAAAAGGTTTGTTCGTGTTATCCAGCATTGTGTCTCCATGAACGAAAAAATTTTGCAGATTGGTTGATGATATTCACTGATAAGATGTTAAAATGTCAGCTGGGTTTCATTCATCTATCATTTACATAGCCGCCGCAGTGCACTATCAAATGTGTATCGCTTGATAATCCAACTCAAACGGCTGAAGTGCCTACAGAAGAGCAAAGAGCCAACACGAAGACCATGACACTGCGATAAAACTAGCCTCCGGCGATCCAACAAGCGCTAGTGGAGGCTTGTGCCGAGCGGGCCGTTGGTCTCCGTACGGTATGGAAGTGGGCCAAGCAGTTCGAAGTTGGTCAGTCGACCACACAGGATGCTCCACGTTCGGACCGAACAAAAACTGGAACCGATCCAGGACACGTGCAGCAATCCGGCCAAGTTTAGGCTGAAGCCAAGTGCAGTGAAGATGATGCTGATTGCTGCCTACGACTCGCGTGGAATCAAGCTGTTGGATTTCGTACCGACTGGTCAGACAGTCAAGACGACCTGCTATTAAATACCATCTTCTCATTCTCAGCCCGCTTATTCTTCATGACAATGCGGCGCCACATCGCGCCCAGGCTAGGCGGGACCTGACGGAGAAACTGGAACGGGGAATGCCTTCCCCTTCCACCTGACAGTCCTGGCATCAGCCCCTCCTACTACGCTTTGTTCCATCTTCCGAAAGAGCTGCTGTGGGGTCGACGATTCGCTACCTTGGAGGAGCTGCACACATCAGCAGATGGTGTTTTGCAAGACATCAACAGAAGAGGACTGACAGACTGCATTGAGAAGTTCCACATCGATGACAAAAGACAATTTAACTCCAAAAGGAGACTATATTGAAGGATGTATCATGCCATGTCTCTATTCTTTATTTTTTAAAGACTAAAAGTACTGATCAGACGAATGAACTATCTGACAAGTATCAGATCTTTCCCTCTTACCGGATTGTGCGGTAGAACCGGAAAATGGACATTTCATTACATCTGAAACTTTGCCATTGGAGTTGCCTTGGTAGTTGAACCATCTTCCTAGAAACCCCCATGCCAGAGTTTTATGGAGACTCCTTAGACCATGTTACCTCTTTGGACCATTTTGTTGAAAATTTCAAATGCCTCCCGATGCGCTGCCTGTGTGGAAAGACCGGGCAACTAGTGGAAGCTAATAGAGATAAATTCCAGCTGGATGATGTATTCACCTAAACATAACCATTATAATGGAAGTCTTAATTCAATGAAAGTTGCAACTGTCTGGCAACTTTGTACCAACTTTTGCATAGGCGGATCCAGAAGACGATAGTAGTTATGAGCCCCTGTTAACTTTGAGGTGCCACTTACCGTCAAGAGTCACATCTAAATAAATGTCACATGAAAGTTACACGTGTAAGATTGTAGGGATAGAAAAGTACGACATCTCGGGAACTTTTATATATAGAGAGGTTTAAATCACCGCAAAGGTTACGCACCCTTAGAAACTTTAAACTACCGTTTAAATGCAGGAGTAACGTCTGAGTAAATGTCACGGAAAAGTTAAGTCTTTAAGAGTGCACGTGGGAAAAAGGGCACCATATTGATATTCCTAGGCGGACCTGTTCGAAGAGACAACATGGTCAAATCAGGCTCTTCCCCTCGAACATACCCAGACCGCTGAAACCATCCCAAACCATGGCTTTCCGGTGCTTTCTCCTTATAGCCATAATCTTGAGTCAATTGCATTTCACCCGCCCGGCCCTCTAAAGGAGGCTCTGGGAGGAACAATATTCAAGACGGCCAACGAGGTGCAACAGGCGGTTCAAGAGTGACTTCAGCGTGAGCCCAACTCATTCTATTCTGCAGGAATTAGAACACTAGTAGGGCACTGGCATAAGTGCATTAACAAACACGGGCGCTACGTAGGAAAGCAACCATATGTTCATTATCAACAGCTAGCATTAAAAAAACATTTGGCGTAACGCCCTGTTATTTATTGACTGACCCTCCTACTTTATAGCTTAATTTAATTTAGGAATTTTAATGTCTTTGGGGTGAACGATCGTTTTGGTTTAAATGAAAAATCAGATTAGTTTCCATTTGACGAGAATATCCGCCTGCAATGGGCCCCTTCCCGTCTTCCGCACCATAAGGCTTTGAACACCACTGTATTGGTTCTGCGGGAAACGGAATAAGAATCGTGTCGGATCACACCGACGAAAGGCTATAGGAACGACCCAAGTAGCACCATATATGGGCTCAATGCTGGATCAACATTGGGTACGTTGACTACATTTTGGTCAATATTGCCAATATAGACTAAATATTGGCTTCCCCAATATTGCCTTTCCGTCATAGATCCAATATTTGACCGACGCAATGATCCAATGTGCCCGACTGCACTTTTTGCGAAATGCGGAAGTTCTCCTTCAGGACAGTAGATGGAGTTAAATGCCTCGCTCTTCGCACAGCACACAGAAGTACCCTTCCCTCTTTCCCTGGACTCGTCCCTCACAGGAGTGTTTAGTACCTCGCTGTATGTCTCGCCTAGTCTCATTATATCAATCAATGAAGTCGGACAATTCATCATTTGTTATCCGCATATTCCAGAAAGAATCAGGGAGTCCAGGAAATAACCAAACTCGTCTTCCCTATGAGAACCCATGCGTCAAACATATAACCACGGAACAGTCATGTCTGCAAGCAAAGGTATGGGTCGAACTAGTACGGGCGGTAAAAGTACTATAAATAGAAATTACTTCACCATTTGAATGTCTCCACTGGATAAAGAATTTTGGGAAAATATGAATGCCAATATTAGCCCGATGTTTTTCGGGGTAGTTGGTAATGGCCCATTATGTATATTTCTTAGCAGCTGATAAGGGTCCAATACTGGGGGAGACCTTCTGCACGTGCGAGGGGAGAAAATCGCTTAGTCCACAAATCCCAATCTGCCCGTGAGCGCCCACAGGGGCATACCGATACCGATTGCACGAAAGGGAAACCTTGCGTTACTTCCTTCAGATTCGGGTCCTATATGGACTGATCGCCGTCCTGTTTCTCATCGTAGAAAAGGGATAATATTAGCAATACAAAACTAGTATGGAAACTAATTGGTTTCGGGATTTCAATGTTGCTTCTCGGTTTGCTTCTGCTCCCGTCTCCCGCGCATATAAAATCAACTGCACATTGACCTTTTATTCAAAGGATAGCCTTCATCATGGGGAAGGACTCCATATGGCCTCGAGGAATCTCAGATAGATTTCAGCTGGAAGGAATCCCCGAGGAGAAGTCGCCTGTCTATTTGATGCAGTCCTGATAGTCCTCTGGATCGAGATCTTGGAAAGACGTTCCGCCGGGGCAACGGCCTTGCAAGGTCGATCGGAAGTCAGGATTTAGGACCCACCAGGCGATGCTGCATCCGCAATCCACTGGGTTTCCTGTGACGCGTGCAGAGTGCACGGGGAAGAGGAAGGGGAAAGGAATTACATTGGTCGGCGACAAGTGGCAGTATTACATCTAGTGGGCACATCCACAAGCCACGGTGTTTTCTGGAATGCTTGCGGAGAGGAGTGTCAGCGAGCAGAGGAAGGAGAGAGAAGAGGAAGGGAAATACCTCTGCGCAAGGCGCAAGGGACAACAGTGCACTCACCGTACAAGACGATATAGCCTTCCCCTTGCGAGAGTGGCTCCACCATAGGGCGGAAGGCCGCTTCCGTCAATTCGCTGATTCTGTTGTCGGCGAGGATTACCCGCGAGTTGGGTCCGATACCTGTAACGAAGATGAGCGCTCTGGTGCATGCCGGCCGAAAAGAGAATCCTATTTAGGCGAGAGTGATCCGATGCGGATCGGAATGTTTCACAGTACCCGATATTGCGTTCGATTCCAAGCTAGAGATCGTGCCGCCGTAGAGATATATTGAACCGACAGTTTCAACACCTAAAATGAAACCCGCAGCCGTTCATCAGCAGCAAGAACTCGCTCGACCGACTCAAAAATAATTATCGGCGATCAGACATGGGACCAGCCGATGCTGGCGACCCAGAAGGATCGTACCTGAAATTGCGTTCGTTTCCAAAACTGAGATCCGGTTATATGGCATAAGTACGAGTTCCATTTTGGAACTGTTGAATGCGAAGGAGCCAGTCGCCAAATTTGGTACGAGGGGGCAGGATTGGCAATGGAATTGCCTCAAGTTCAGTAAGCTGCTGATAAATCCGAGGGCGATTTCCGTAAGGGGATTTCCATCTGCATGAGATAGGATAAAATCAACCTAGAACCATTCTAATTGGGCAAGAATAATAAATAGCGATACGATTTATGTTTATAGACCCTATATCCCATATTTATGACGGCAGGCTCTTACTAACGCCTCAAGAGGGTTCTGTTGCACTCTTTTCCCCTCTTAAAAATGTGTATTTTGTATGTAATAGTTTTCAATTTGATGATATTTACGAAGAGGTCGATAGAATGCACCTAAATACTTGCTCCAGTGTTGCTAGGAATGGGTAATTTCTCGTTTCGTGACGAAACAGGAATGAGTTCCATAAGTATGCATCCGCCCTTGGTAGCGTGAACCCGTACAAATAGTCCTATTGGAATGCCGTAAAAAATTAATGATTCAAAAATATTATAGGATTCTTAGCAAGTGTTTTGTACGGGAACTCATCTCGAAAAAGAGTTTGTCGAGGCTAACGGGAACCGCAACGAAATGGAGAAGGGATTCGATGGACGAATGATCGATGTGCACCTACTCAACATGAGGATGTTCAAGTTTGGGAGGGATGACCCAGCCTGGATTTCCGCCACTTGATTATTCTCAATCATGAGATATTGCAGACTGGAGCTTTGGCTTTGGGGCAGGACAGTCAAACTGTTATTAGAGAGATTAAGTTGAGAGAGGTTGGTCAATTGCGGGAGGACATCCCAGGGGAAGTCCACCAGGGCGCTGTAAGTGATTCCCAGAAGTGAAAGCCTATCCTTCGAAGACAGAATGGCCCCAGGATGGAGGCTGCCGATCGTGGTTCTGGAAAGGTGTATCCTCTCGAACGAGACGTCGCCAAAGAGTCCTTCCGGAAAATCTCGCACCCCTGTGTTGTCTTCCAGCTTGAATCTCCTGCGAGTAACGAGAAGCGGTATCTGATACACGACTTTGATGAGCACCCCGGTTTCTGGCCGGTCTCCAGTTGTTGGCCAGTGAGGTTCAAATACAGCATATTTAATTAATTTGGCCGTTTCCAAGCATTCTATCAACATCTTCCTGTACGAGGATCTATTACTAGTGTTTCCCGGTGTGCGCACATTTTCCACTTCCTATGGGAGGAAGTTATCAGCGTGACCAAAACCTGGGGTGTTCACCCTACGCCCTGGTAAAAAAAACCCTGACTGCAAACTCATGAGGTCTCATGAGATCTCAAGACTTTCTCATGAGGTTAGCCACATATATCATGAGGTAATCATTAGGTTCTTTTTTAAATCATGATTTCATGAGGTTTTTTCTGCAGCACACAACCGACGCGAGATGGCGCCTGTATAGCCGTTCTGAGGAGCATCCACCTAGATTTCACTGGAGTATCTCTCATATACTCTCCTAATCGTAGGCATTTTCATTCTACATAAAACGTAATGAGCGATATTTGATTATCTAAAAACATTTGTCAAAGTGAAAGCCCAGTTCAGGGAGACTCCAGACAATTCTGACTCACCGGATGGAATGACGTATTGAGGATGGAGTAAATGACAGTTCTGTAACATTATATACTCCTTATATATGAATACTCCCTTTCTAAAGACTCGCGGGGCCTTCGCAGCTAAGTCTCATGAGACCTTTCGTGGTTAATGGCCACAACGAGGCAAGTGACATCTCTGTACAAGAACCCCAGGAAGTGACCCTCATGAGATATCTGACCGAAAAACTCATGAGATGCTCATGAGGTTTCTTCAGCAGGGCGCTTAGCACTGATTAGAATATATACTAGCGGCCTGCGGCCGCTACGCTGGCCGTCTAACAGGCGGAAATTTGAATAGTCAATTATGAGCATAACGTCTTCATGACATCATCTTGTTCATGACATTACTACGACTGTAGTAATTTGAGGTGACATGGAGAGGCCTGACAAAATATCCCGAGTTCCGTGGTGTAGTGGTAGCACACCTCACCGGCAAGTAAGAGGTCCGGGTTCAATTCCCGGCTGCCCCCCGACTTTCGACACCTGACTGCTGCGTTCCTTGCATCAAGTTGCCCAGCAGGCTGCATGGCTTTCCAAATCCTGAGCTCAGCATTCACTGCCTCTTGCTGTTCAACCTTACGCTCCCTACGTGCAACAGGGTACTGTTCATCAGTCATTCTAGCCATTATGGCTAGAACCTCCTAAAGCATCGATTTAGGCACTTCGCACCGCAATGGCAGTGGCAAACGTTGCTTCCGTGCCAGCACCAATCGTTTATTATCTGCAGCGACTGCCTCATCGCCGTCCTGTGGGACCTCTTTCAACATTTTTTTACACGTTCAACCTCACCTCGCAAAAATTGCTACATTTGTTGGAGGAGCGGCCCGTTTGCGCGACGTATGAAACAAAGAACTTATTTTATTATTTTGATGTCATCAATCATGAAAACTAAAAAAAATCGACCATGACATAAAACGCAAACAGAAAATTATTGCATGGAAGCGATGTCCCGAACTGCCACGCCTGACCTAACGGAAAAAAATAACGAAAAATACTTTCATTGACACAGCTAAGTACGAAGCCTACAGCTCAGACTGATATAGCTCAATGGACCTGGTGCTAAAAGCGTTGGATGGCCAAGCCTATGGCCTAAAATAGCATAGCCTCAAGGACCTGGCGCATTGAGGGGTGGATGGCCTGGCCTATGGCATGAAGTGACAGTGTTGTAGGCCTCGCGCGCTGGGGTGACAACCATCACAACTCTCGGGCTCTTCGAATTAAAGTATATGACTGGTTTCTTCCTCAAAAGACGTCAGCGCATGCATCGATTGAAATTATGCTCTGTGCATGACAAAAAACTGGAAACAGTACATAAGTTGCTCTAAGATTTGTAACTTGAAGAAGAATCGTATGTATTTGATATGCCACACTGAGAACGCATTTTCTTTAAGGGAAGGGTGCTGTTCTGATTTTTGATTGTTTCAGGAAAAATTTTTCTCATTGTATCAATAGTTTTGCTGTGAATGGTATTGTTTGAATGGAAATTTCCATGAGGAGCACGAATGGAGATGGAAAAGCTGAGTCTCCATACGAATAAGCTTGTCTATGTAGTCATAACGAGGCTATATTCTTCGCCATCTTCGAAGATCCATCCGGTTGGATTTCTACAAGATCCAGCCAAAATGTCAACTAGATGAAGTTATGAATTATGGGTTATGTCCACTATGAATTATTTGCGGCGCAGCAGAAACGGCGTCTTTCTCAGAGACTTTTTAGAAATAGCGCAAATGGAATGAGCAGAAAATGAGTCCATGTTCATCCACTCACTTGAGTTCAGTGAAGGGCCAAAAGGCGTCGTTGAAGGCGGAGTAGATCTCATCGCTTGAGGCCGCTCGTGAGCAGTCCACGATCACATCGCCGGTGTCGGATTCTTGGATGCAGGAGCAGGGGAGGATGTCGACCGGATCGGGACACGGGCTTTGCCCGGTCGTCCTGAGGCTGGAGGCGAGGAGCAGGAAGACGGGGAGGGTGAGGAGAGCGAGGCCACGCTGCATCTTGTTGTGCGGATAGGAGGAGGTTTGCACTAGAGTGAATGAGTCGAACTCAAGAGATTCATTCTTTAAGCGGTGCGCAGAGTTCGTCCTTGGGGTTGGCAGCATATGGTGGGGTGTCTGAGATAAGGAATGACAAGATTCTGGCGATAAGAGAAAATTCCTGTGCGACCAAACCGATGACAAGGCATCTGCTACATGGTGCCTCAAAAAATGTTGCACATTTACTTTTTCGCTTAATTTTCAATCCTGATCGATTCGAAACAGGCCTGGAGAAACAGGCAGAATTGGACAAAGATGGTGGCACGTGCATCGAGGCAAAGGGGATCTCTGCGACAACCGGTTAAATATTGAAACGGCTCCATGGAGCAGTTTCATTTCCCTTATCTCAAACATCAGGTGGATTTCGGTTCCCGTTTCGCAATAAATAGGGCATGCTATTTTTTCCCTCCCGACATTAGATCCGGTAAGGTTTGCGTCATCTCCCTCACGAAACAGCCCCAGAGAATTTATATTGGACAAATTGGACTATATTGGATAACAAGGTTCCAGTAAAAACTCTCATGAAAAAAATCGTAAACAGCATCCCATAGGATTTCTTTTTAAGGGGATCGGGGAGGATTCCTGTGGATATTCCTATCGGATTCTGGGGTGCATGTCGAATGGCGAAAGCGGAAACGCAGAAAAGTTGTAATGTCGAAGGGCAAGAAACTATAGGGTGACAACAAAATTCCTTTGCATGAAAAAATGAAGATTGGACGAAGAATAGACCGGTAGGTTCTACATATAATCAACAAACAGAAACGTTCACATGTCTCGTGTTCTTTCTCGTTAAGGCTAGACCTTTGTAACGGTCTCTTCAGCACAAGTCCATATTTGCTTGAATTTTTGACGTGCTTCAAGGAATTCCTAGACACTTTCCCACATTTTTACATTCGAAGTAGGACGGAAATCTGAATACAGCGGGTTTTTTTGTTAAATCGACGATACCAACTACCAGGCACCGGTAGATTTATTGAGAAAAACATACATTTAGGGAAAAAATCAGAACAATCTAATTGAAGAGGAGGTGCTTGCAGGAGGCAATTAGGACGAGGAAGAGTAGCGGGAGGCGGGAGTGGGAGCCCAGCTGTTCTGCGGAGTTGCAGCCCAGCGGTTCTGCGGAGTTGCAGAAGTCCGAATCGCAGAAGCACGCCCTCCAGCCATCTGGGAGCCGTACGTCGGTTGCGTTCACGCACTCCGCTGCTTTCCATTCGGAGCAGTTCACGGTCTTTAGTACACCTGGGGGTCGAACAATCACCGAGGGTTTGTTCACTTCGTCAGTGCCATGCGTGAACTTTTCTACATTCATAAGAGGGAGGGAAGTTTTTCTCCCGGTCAAAATGTTGTATACGGTGCACCACGGTGAAACTTGACCATATCGTCCTCTTATACTAGTAGCAATGCGCGAAATGGCTTTTTGGAGCATGGTCATGGAATGTCTGGTAAGATTATTGCATTTAAAAAATGTTAATGTATGCATTAAAGAAACTCTGCACAGATAACGAATTTCTCTATACAGAAACGATGGTCTCTCCTGGAGACGGGATCGATGACGTAAAATTATTGCCCCCATGTAAATGCATGTATCTTCTCGTCAAATACGTTATGAAGGGAATTGGACTTCCATGGAATTTTGGAAACTGGATCTCAAAAAGGCACAAAACAATAATCGCGAAATTTTTCTCAATAGAGGCAAGGCCATTCCATCGAAAGAAAGAGGTCCTGCGTTTCTCTTAAGTTAAGAAAGGACTTATATCATGGACCATCGAATATCCTTGTCTGCAATGTATGGTTTTCATTCGTCCTATCATTAACGACCTTTAATCGCGATGAAACTTAATGGGAAGTTAAATACTGGAATATTCCGGCTTTTTTTTAAGTGGAAGGGAGGAGAAATTTTAACACCAAACGTGAGAAATGCATGAAGTCCTTACTATTCTCATCCCAGTATTCTCCACAGTACCAATCGTATCCTTGTTGTGTTTCACCTTCGCAAGGCATTTCGTGCCACATTTCGCACGTTGCTACGTCGTCGCAGTGATAGCAGCTCAAGGCAACCGCATGACCTGAGGAAAAGAAACCGAGCAGTTTAGGGGGACAACGATCGCCCAAAAATCGAATTTAATGTGATTAATGCCTGCTTACCGATGAAAGAGAGAAGGCCGAGAAACACGGAGAACTTCATCGTTGGTGGAAAATCTGAAAGAATCGAGTGGTGTGCATGCGCGAAATGCAGAGACTATGCATTCCCTGCTACATCGTGTTTCTATTTTCGAAACTAAAGTGCTGGGAGTTTACGTGGATTTGATTCATTTCATGGAACAAATAGGACTACCGAATCTTAAACAATTTTTTTTAAAATTATTATCATGAAGCTATGAAAGTGAATGAGTGAAAAGCTTTTATTCATTCCATGCTTGGCAATGGTGAAACCGGTGTGCTCCCTTCCCCCTACGGGAATCTTCCACTAAATTATCGTTCTTGTGTAATGGGACATAGAACATGTCAATCTCCAGTTCTCCAAAATAGTTTAAATCATGTTATCAGTAGAAGTCTCTGTGCGGTGAGTTCGATTGAAGATCAGTGGATTCCGTTTGGCCCTGGAAGGTAAGTGCAAGGGTAAGTGACACACCTGCGGGGCTGATGATGTGAGGTGGGAAGAAAATCCTCGTCGATAACGTCACCTTTCGTCTGTGTCCAAGTGGCCTACCCGATCCCACGGGACTCGCATTTATCCCATCTCAAAATCAGGGAGATACGTGAATGGAATGGGAGGCGGACCGGGATAACACAGTCCGCCTCCTCGGATGTGAGTGCGCATGGGTAACATCTAGGCTCTCGTAACGGTAACCTTGTCTAGAGTTATGTGAATCGTTTCTTTCAGACCAGAACAGAAAGCGCAGAACTTTCTTTTTTAGAACTGGCCCTATTAATCGGTTTCCCTCGTTAAAGAAAAAGTCAAGATGGTCGTTAAGCACGAGATGCCAGCCAGTCTTCTTAATTTCTTCTCGGGAGCGAGGCGCGAGATGACACTGTTGTCCCTTCCATTTCCCGTCTTCGGGAAATTTCGTAGGTTTTTTCTTTCAGCAGCCGAGTAGATGAGAGTCCTGCAGATACTTTTATGAAATATATGCTGGGAGATCGACTCCTTAGCATCTAGATTATTCATCACGGCATTTACGGCGCTTTTCATATCCTTCGGCAGACCCTTTGGTAGCACATTGAAAATAAACAAATATAATGAAATTTTACTAGTCACCGATAAACCAATAAATCGATAAATAAAGGGGATTCTGTGAATTTTGTGGCCCTATTTATGCATGCATGCTAAAACAACGCAACATTTTCCCTGAAATCCAAGACCTCGTGTCTCACAATCCTAACGCATTTTCACTTTAATCTCTGCCTGTTCACTCCTCTTACGCCCACAGTCTCTAGTCTCCCCCAATCACGTGCAATGTTACTCAAAAGCAAAAGCATTGCAATAATGCAATCCGCAACGGTTCCTCGAGTCAGGTAATGATGTCGACTTCTTTGCTTGTCCTCGATGCAATTAGTGTTTCTTTTTCAATTGCTTCAAATTATTATGTTTCAAGATTCTTAGTATGTTCCATGATATTTCATCCGCTCCTGGAAAACCTGGATTTTTTTTCTGAAATGGCCATATTCCCCTAACTATACCGGTAAGATGGCCTCTTGGGACCAACTTTAAATATATCTAAAGGTGCCATATTCATATGGTTTCTCGCAAATGCCTTGCTGAGATTTAGTAAAGGAGATATCAATCAATATTTTAGAAACCGTGCGGGGAAACCGTGCTTCTTTCACGTCATAAGCCAGTGGAGTCGCGAGGAAGAAGTTTTTTGAATCAATAAAGATTTGCCCAATTATTTTCCCTGGGAGGCATAAAGTTATCTCCCAGATTTTGGCGTAGACTTCGCGTGGACGTTGATCTGGGGTTTTTCTTGGTATTTAATTTCCAAATCACAAGAATGTTACAATAATAAAAAGGAAAAAAAACCAGAGGGAATCATAAAATAGATGAATTGAATAAAACGGTTTTCAAAATGTCACTTCCATGTCTCTTCCACCTTTTTCCCATAGCATCTCTGAAAATAATGGTTAGTTTCTCACGATTTTCTGTATCTGAAAGATCTATTATTTGTAAATTTTGCTCTTGCCGGATATCGTTGCAATCAGCCCAACAACTGAATGAAATGAGATATCCAGTGTTGCAGAATGAAAGAGAAGCATCGCTGGGAGCTTCACGCTCTAACAATCTTGTCGGAGCAGTTTCATGCCTGGAAGCTCGATTCTTCATGGGTCATATTTTCAAAGGGTTACTAAGACTTAGTCGTCCTTTGAAAGTCTGACCCCACGTGTTTTACTAAGACCCTTCGAATCAGAATGAGCATTATGTACACAGACTCGGGGGAAGAGCCCTGAATTCATATCCATTTTCATAATCTTCCAATTTGATGCCCAGTCTTCCAGTGTGTAAGGATATCTGTGGCGCAATATGACTAGGACATACGCAATTTTTTTTGGCAGATTTTCTATGCCAGAAATAGCTGGAAATAGCTCGGTCAATCCGAGCAATCGTAACCGACGTGGGTCTTGAATCATTCCTTCCCTTATGCTATAACTTCCAGGACTGCCAACCGCAAATATTTGCAAATCAAATAAATTTGAATTAAAGGCAAGAAAGCTCGGACGAATGCCCCGGAATGCCCCGTTTCTTCGGATGAATAGCCTTGATTCTCATCACGCTTACAGGCACTATAGACTTGTTTCTTTTCTCGCGTGGAAAATAAAGGTCAGCCCAATTTCTCTTGCTGATCTACCGTCTTTCGTCCTCGAACGTATATGGAAGTCTGTAGAGATATGCCGGGCGGAGGAACTTGCTACTGTTTCTTGTCCTATATAGGATCATGAATATGTCAGAGTTCGGAAAATTGAGATTTTATCTCCTCTAATTTTTGTACAGGTCGAGGCAAACTTTCGCCTTATCTGCCGACACTCACGGTTGGAGAGTCACTCCTATACACCTTCGTTCATATCTTTATGGACCAAGGATTAAGTAGCATTTCTAGATTCACGTCAGCCAATAGGCGGGGTGAGAGTCCTTTGGGGGGGGGGGAGGGGGGAGGGGGGGAAATGACCTTCTTGATCCCCTCGACCCCATTCCCTTGGAATATTTTACTTTTTCAGCATAGAAAAGCACTTCTCTAGGGATATCATGATTCATACGTACCTCTTCAGATAAAGAGGGTAGGTCCCTGATAAACACTGAAGTTTTCTCAAGGCTGAATGCCTAAGCTGAGAGGACGTGCATGGAGGCACGTCCTCTCGTTTTTTCCATCTCACGCTTCAGAATAGTTACCAGGAATCTCCGGGTTTCCCGACGTTGCTCGGTCATTCCGATAGCTTCTGAAGCGGGTGGCAATCGATGTAAGGCATGACGCGGAGTCTCTTCTGATTGCCGCGAGATGACGTCACCTACCGCAGAAATGGAGAACTTTCAGGAAGCAAGAATGAAAGCGATGTAATTTCAGTCTCTCCTTGATGGGTGATCTCCTCTCTGACCTTAACCATTCCTCATCAGAGAAGATCATAATTACATTTTCACGTGAATGTAAATTAAGACCATGTATGCCTTTGATTTATCTGCTATCCTGCAGCCTGCAACTTCAGCTATTTCGGATCTGCGTTCTCGGCTGCAGACTGTTTAGGGACTCCAATGCCCTGAAACAAGGTTGTAAGGAGTTTGCTGTAATTCTTCCGGAAATTTTCAGAAATGTACCAAATAATTTTAAAATGATACCATGTAATTGCAGCGTTACCTTGTCGGGATGGAAAGAGTATTCCCCTTATCATTTCAATATTTTTCCGTGAAAGTGTAAATCGGGCCCAACTGGAGCAATTTCGTGACTTTAAAATGTCATGATTCTGAAAGTAATGAAAAGCTTTTGACGACATGTGAAAAACCAATAAGTCACTTCAGAACGCATTCCTTCATCACATGTTGGCTGTTTGAAGCATTTTTCTGAGGCAAACAGCAAAGAAATTTGAATTTGTCGCACCGTATTTGTAACTAACATTTAAATTTTCATATTAGAAAAAAAAAACTTAGAATGTATGGTGACCAAGACCACGAACATGAAAATATAGCGTCCCACACTAAACGCAGCTTTTTAATGCCGAGACGTCAATGCATCATTGACAAATTGCCCTGCTTGTATCCATGCCTCTGTCGAATTCTGTTTTAAAGAATGTGCCCCTGTCGAGAAGAATAGCCTCAGTAGTATTCATGTTTCAAGTGTGCATGAAACAGGAATCCCAATCATGTTCGGCGCAGTTGATTATATCAATCAGCAATACAGATAGTATGAAAGGTAATCGAGATAAGCCATTCTAGAATTAGATTTTGGAGAACATTATAGACTATTCCAGATTGCCAGAAATGACCAGATTGCTGTAAATTTTAGTCTCCTGGGAGTTGCTCCCGTTTGGTCTGATTCACTCGAAGGAAGTCCCCATTTGTCCTCTCGCCGGAGGATAAATCGGAAGGATAGAGGATGGCCGGTGTAAAAGTAATTTTTATTAAAGCACATTCCTTTACAGCACATTACGGCAATTTCTCTCTTTTGATGTCCGATGTCCATCTTTCAAACGAAAATTTTAAGGCAAGGAATCACAACCTGAATCGCGATCATTCTTAGAAAGGTCAAGATTCCGTGCATCGGCGAATGGGCGGCCGAAGACGAGGGGGAGGAAGCAACGCACCAGGGATGCCACATCCAAGGGCAGGGGGAAATTATCACTTTCGAAACGCTGCTGATAAGGGGACAGGGACACACTAAGCCTCGGCATGGATACAAGCTCTTATAACCTCCATGAGGAGACCGAGTGCAAAACGCCTCGCCTCTGAGTCAACAACGATTGGATGTCAGCTCCATACCTGGTTCTGATCAGGTACTAGAAACAATAGTTAAATCGGTCTCGCCAGGTCCCATCCTAAGGCATTGAATGAAATGATGAAACACTCTCCTTCCAGCTTCCCTCAGTTTTTTTTCCCGGCATTTATGAGCGTATTGTGAAAGCTGGTTTATGTTGGTCAGAATGCTAAGCCAAAGCTGCATATCGATCCGGAGAGGGTCGCCAGTCAGAAGTTGCGAACCGGCCCTTCTCGGATTTGAAAATTCTCTCGCTGGTAATATTTTGAAGTGAATGGAAAATGCCGTGCACTGATATGCATGGGCTCTCATATCGACCTCTCAATCGATAACTGAAGTGGTATACCAGTTTTTATATACTTATCCATATCTGCATGGATTGCCTTTCGAGTGGTAGAGCAACCACCTCGGCATCAAGGACGACTGACGTGACTTCATTCGAATATACATGCGGGCGGGGCAAGAGCCGTCCCCCAAGTGCGACTTGGGATTTCCAGGCCATCCATAATGACTCTCCAGTCAAGAATAAGGGGCAACACCCACTTCGTATCCTTTGTATGGATCCTCGTTGAAGTTGATGCAGGAGATGCAATAAAGTGTACGATGAACCTGCATATGCTGCGAAGACCATCCGACCTTGAGACTGGTCTTGACCCTTCAAGTGGCCATCCCTTAACGGTTAAGTGGTCTGAACGATTATCAATGCAATCCTTGATTCGAATTTTTCAAATGGCACATTTTTCGTACAACAGTTTCTCGAAATCGAAATATTGGGAACAATAGTATTAATCATAATATTTATTTTTTATGAAGCCCTCC